ACGTGAGCTGAGGAGGATGTTCCGGGCTCTTGCAAGCTGTCACTGACAATCCTCCACTCCCATACTGAGTTGGAGTCCATTGCTTGGCATTCCAACCACACGGAGCGATTCGGATCGATACAGATGGGCGATTGATTCGTGACCGCCAGCACCTGTGGCTGTAGATTAGAGTCCATGAAATCCGGACGCAGACTACGCAATGCTTCCACCACAATGTCAACTTCCACAGTTGCAGGACAAATAGGCGCCGTGTTGGCGATGACATGACCGGAGACGAGCTCCACATACTTCGGAGCCGCCGTATTGATCTGGAAACGGGCCACTTTATCGCTTGCCTCGATTAAGCTCCATAGCGTTTTAGGAGGCCCTTCTTCATCCCGTGCGCCACATTGGACCTTCCCATTGTTCATGGAGCTTGGGACCTTGAGCTCCATCCAATGTCTGGATGGCTCGAACTGGTACGGAGGGAGCAAAACAGGATTGTACTCGTATGTCTGCTCCGCATGGTAGGCCCAGAAGTTAGTGGATATGCCTTGTTTCCAAAGACTCAGTGTACTCGTAATCAGCATGGACCACGAATCGTCCGAGGTGATGTTCACGGCTTGGAAGTGAAGGGACCTGGGAGATCCTAGGGCTCGGCTAGCCATCGAAGTGATGGTGGAGTTGGACCCGGCCTCCAGCCACACGCTATCTGGGTACTGCTGAGCCAGCCGCTGAACTGCCTGGTTGAAATAGACCGGGTTGCGCATATGGTCGTAAACATAGTCGCTTGTAAGCGTAGCATCCGAGTAGTGCTTAATAGCTCGTTCAAGTTGCATGGTTGGTGTGTTGAACGTCAAATGCTGTCCGACCTTCTCGAGCTCCTCCATCAGAGGCTCGACGAGGGTGGAATGGAATGCGTTGGTTACCTTTAATCGCTTCGAGCGGATTGAGGGTCCAGAGTCAGATAGTTTACTTATAACTTCCGTGACGATGTCAATGCTTTTAACCGGTCCCGCTAATGTGTAACTGGTCGGTCCGTTGACGCATGCAATGGTAGGTGCTCTTGCGTGAATCAGCTCGCACTGTTTGGCTGCTTCAGCAAGCAGCCGCTGGACCCTATTTTCGTCTGCCTCAACTGCAATCATGGATCCCTTGTCTTCTCCCCAGAAATCACGAATAACGGTGGCGCGGCCAACAATCATCTTCATCGCGTCGGCAAGGCTCAGTATACCCGTGGCGCAAAGTGCGGTTAGCTCACCGAAGCTATGGCCCACCGCAGCAACAGGGCGGACCCCGGAATCCATCCACGCTTTCGCCGAGGAGTATTGGGTGGAGAAGAGAATCGTTTGAAGCTTCACCGGGTCGGAAATTGGTGATTTTTGGAAGATGCCGGGAAAGATACTGTCAACCCCGAGATCGCGACATGCAGCGTCACAGATGGCGAGGTGCTTCCGGAGTAGAGCAACATTATCGTAGACTTCTCGATCCAGGCCGACATAATTAGAGATCTGGCCTCCGAAACACAAGATGACCTCGCGAGGTGTCTTCGACCGACTGGTTGCGATGAGTCCTTGGTTCCCGGCGACGAAAGCCCTCAGCTTTTCCTCCACCTCCTGTGTTGTACGACAGGCAAACGCCAATGATCGATCCAAAGTAGGGTTGGACTGCCGACAAACGTTGAAAGCGAGATCTGCCACGGAGATTCCGTCCTTTATGCCGCTAGCTATGAAGCGCAGTAATCGCTCACTGTAGGCTCGCAAGGCCCGATCATCGGATCCACAGAGACGGAATGGGTAGTCGAGGACAACGGAGGTCCGTCTTGTAGCACTCCGCCTCTGCTCCGTTCTTGGCGCCTGGGCTACGACCATTGACGCATTAGATCCACAGGCCCCGTAGTTGTTGATGAGAGCAGCACGGTATTCTGCAGTCCAAGGTGAAAACCTGGTGGCAATCTGCATATTGTCCGACTCGGACACAGGGATTTCCGGATTCAATCTGTCAAAGCTAGGCTGAGGTGGGATTGCCTCATGCTGCTGCATCAGGAGTGTTTTCACCAGCGAGACAGCTCCGGATGTACACTCCGTATGACCGACCAGGCCCTTTACGGATCCGAAAAGAAGTGGTGTTGACCGTGACGGACCGCCCAACACATTCCGAATGCTTTGGTACTCGGCTGGATCGCCGACCTGGGTTCCCGTGCCATGGGCCTCCACTACCGTGATCTGGTTAGCTGTCAGCTGGGATCGGTCCAACACGTCACGGAAGAGATCCGATAGTGTAGGCGCATTGGGTACGAAGACTGGGGTGCAGTTCTGATTCTGGTTGACTGCAGTGGCTTTAATACTGCCGATGATCATGTCTCCATCGGCGATGGCGGCCGACATCTTCTTGAGGAATACGGCGGCGAAGCCCTCGCCTCTGCAATAACCATCCGCGCTGGCATCGAACGGTTTACATTGACCTGTCGGGCTGAGGAAGGAGGCAGCAGCCAGGTTCTGGTACCACAACGGGTGGGTGATGATGTTGGCACCGCCAGCTAATGCTGCGGTGCAGTCGCCGGTCAAGATAGCTTGACACGCCTGATGAACAGCCACCAAGGATGATGAGCATGCCGTGTCGATGCAGAGTCCTGGTCCAGTCCAGCCAAACCAGTGGCTGATCTTGCCTGCCACAAAACTCTTCAGGTTGCCCGTGGCCATGAAAGCATTCGGAGGATGGCATGCCACATTGTACTCATAATCCGCTGCACACACCCCAATGTAACACCCGATCTTTCGGTCCTTGTCTGACTTGGGCGTCGTAAAGTACCCCGACTGCTCCACTGCCTGATATGCAACTTGCAGCATCTGCCTCTGCTGCGGATCGGTTGCGGCAATCTCGCGGGCGCTCTTCTTAAAGAATTTGTGGTCGAAGCAGTCATGTTCGTTGATGAAGTTACCATACCACTTCCGCGTGGGGTCGACCTCGCGAAAGGCACTTTCGAATCCAAATCGCTCCTTGGGAACCTCTTGATGCTGAGACTCGGCCTTGCATAGAAGGTCCCAGAACTCATCCACATCGTCGGCACCAGCCACCTTGCAGGACATGCCGATCACAGCAATCTCATTCGGATTGCAAAGCTCTGGATCCCTGTGCAAGTATGATGGTTGATATTCAGCCGCTGTGGTAACTATCGAGCTAAGGCCTTTCAATATAGACGGTGGAATGCATCGCTCGGGTCCAAAAGAAACTACCATCGAGGAAGGCGATTTTAAGCATGATTGTCGGATTACCTCTAGAGTCTGATACCAGTGGGATGTATCCAGGAGAATGGATCGAAGTGCGCAATGATGGAGCTTCCCGCTGAGAATGAAAGACCCGGCATCATTGGAACGTGTCGGCAGAACCAGCACAGCGGCATCTGGCAGACACAGGCTGGGTACAGAATCGCAGAATTTACTTAAGGCCTCAATATCGTTCTTGTAGCATGCACAGTGGAAGCGACCGCGCAATCCAATCTCGCTGGCAATGAGGCCGGCATTGCGTAACCGCTGTTGCAAGGAAGAGATGCTTCTGGCTGCTGTTGTTATTGTCGCTCGGTTGTAGTCGTATTCTACCGATATATACACCTTTATGTGTAGATTAAAATTAGATTGTCTTTGTTCATTGTGTCTTGCTGTGTCCACTCACCTCTGGAGACTGGTCAATAATCTGGTTCAGTCGGTCCTGAGTTTCAGCCGAATCCCAAGCCACAGCTAATGATTTCGAAGGGCCATTTGGGCTTGTGATATCCTGCACATCTACCACCGCTCCAATAATCATCGCCAGCTTGATCGCAATGGCGCCGTACTGGCGGATACCCTTGATGTCAGAGGCGAGTGATGCGGCAAGAGCAGTCAAAAGGCCGGTACAAAATCCAACGGTTTCTGTTTGCTGATCTGCTGCATGCGGCATCGTCTTCAAGTAGTCCACATATTCCGTCAACTGAGTTATGACCACCATAGGGCTGAGAAGGATGTTAGGAAGATGGGGTTCAGCATGCTCCATCGTCCCCGTCTCGAACCACCTATCGAGATCCCGCAGCAACTGCTTGCCTTCCAGCGCTCCATACTGTGGAAATTCCTTCACAAGGGCATCCCACAGCCCTGGTAGGCTGGTGATGGTCTGCTTAATCCAAGCATTCTCCGAGGTTTGCACTACTCGTGCATGTATGTCGGCAAACGTCGCGGTGGAGAAGGAAAGGGCTTGCGGGCCGAATAGAAGAAGGGTATTTGTCGGGTTAGTAGCCCTTGTCGTTGTGACCATGGCGGATAAGGCTGAAGGGCAAGCCGAGATCTAAGGAATAATTGCAAGGTCGAAGAACTGGTAATCAAGCAATTAATCAATCCCTACCGGCGCTTTTCCGATGCTGTGATGGCCAGATAAATGCATGACTTGTGATGCAATATCAAAACAACTATAGTTCCAGAACAATTCACTGCCACGTAAAGAATGCTGCAGCAGAAACACTTGGTAGGCCCTCGGACTTTTTGTTATTCTCTGCAGGCATTATCTCGCTGACGTGAGCCATCCTGCTGAGCCGGAGTTTCGCCCGGGCAGGACTCTTCACGTTTCCTTAAGATAGCTCTTACGAGAAAGCCTTGATAGTACTCATCAGCTTGCACAAATCGTATGCTTCCTCTTCCAGGGGTGGAAATTCTGTGATCCACCGAAGTCCGAGTATGTGGCTAGGGGATTTTCTGACCCCGCATCGCTCGGACTTATAACAATGGAGTTTCTCCCGCAGCTGCCTTTGCTGATTATCTTTGCAATTTCGTGGCCAATGAAAGGATTTTGCGAGTCTTTTCTATCTCTAATCCATCATTCCGTCGTTGTATGGAATTTCTACTGTCAGTCATCAAAGCTGCAAAACACCATATCAACGCCCCTTCAGTTCTACGGCTGCCAGACAGGCAGATAGCCACGGCTCTTAAAATTCAGTCTCCTGTTTCTTGACACCTATGTTTGAGAAGATATTCATAGCTGTAGGTTACTGCGACATGGAAAGCCTTGCCCACCTACCGGGCATTTTCTTGCCTCTGGCTGGCTGTGTCTTAGCTCTCAGTCTCACAGTAGGTAACCCTCATCTCAAAAACCACAATAAGCAGAGCTGACTCAGCCCCTATAGACAATCGTGTACCGCACAGTAACAAATCCTCTATCACATATCCCTGGTCCTCAAATTTCGAAGTGGAGTTCGTTGATCGAGCAGTACTACTGGTTTGCGGGGACAAAGGTTGAGTATGTCGACTATCTACACCGTAAATACGGTGAGCGATACCCGTCTATCATCATTACTAAGCTTATAGCTAATGTTATGAGGCGCTCCTGGCGGTAGGCCCTATTGTCCGCGTGACTCCTACAGAAGTCGACATCTGTGATCTGCCAGCAGTCCGTGAGATCCATCGCGTGCGCGGCGGATATCTCAAGTCCGAGTGGTACAAGTCTTTGACACCACCAGGGGTGACTAGCTTGCTCACCCTCATCGAGCCCGCTCAGTACTCTGAATGGCGGCGATTACTAGCCGGGCCATTGTCTGATACCAGCTTGGGCAAAGTTGAGCCCATGGTCACCAACCATGTGCATGCTACCATTGATCGGATTGCCTCCGATTTGCAGTCACAGGGGGTATCAGACCTCTACAAATGGTGGACGTATATGGCGACCGACGTCGTGAGCGAATTGAGCTTTGGCGAACCCATTGGCCTGCTGGCGCGTCCCAAGGTGAGTGGCGGACTTTGGTATTAGAGACTTGACTATGCATGTTGACACGCCTTGACAGGAAACCGCATGGGTCATGGACTACCTGGACAAAGTGGGTATCATGCACGCCTGGCGGACGACCTTCCCCTTTGTCTTCGTACTGGGACGATTCATGCCCGTTCATCCTTTCAAGCATGCCATTCAAGCAATAGGGCTTCTTGGTAAATGGGCGAGGCAGTCTATTCAGCAATATAGACAGCATATCCAGGAACAGCCAGAGAGTCCGAAGCCTACCTTATTCACTAAACTGTTTAAGACAGGCAAGTTTGACGACTTCCAGCTGACGTACCTGGCTGGATCATATATTACCGCGGGAAGCCATACAACTGCGGTCACGTTATTATATCTCATCTATGCGATCTGTAGCGATAATGAGGTCCGGCAGAAGCTGCTTGCAGAAATCCGTACTTTGCCGGAGAATTTCCGCCACGATGAGCTTCGACATCTGCCGTACCTCAATCAGGTCATCACAGAAACTCTACGTAAATACGCTGTTGTCTCGTCTGCTTTGCCTCGTGTGGTGCCTGCTGGCGGGGCTACGCTCGCTGGATATTACCTGCCTGGTGGAACTACGGTTTCGACTCAAGCGTATACATTACATCGAAATGAGGCCATCTTTCCAAACCCGGAGAAGTACGAACCCAACACCAAGTACCCATATCTTTCGACGCTGTCTGTGTTGCTAATTGAATGTAGATTCGACCCCAGTCGCTGGGAATCTCCGACCCAGGATATGAAAGACGCTTACATGCCCTTTGGTGGCGCCTCGAGGAGTAAGATTGACTTCCACAGCCTAATCGCAATATCATGGGGTAAATATCACTAATTGCTACCGTTATTAGTGTGCATCGGCAATAGTCTTGCGCTCATGGAAATCCGACTTACGACGACTCTATTCCTACGCCGGTTTCCAGAGGTTCACATGTCGCGTCAGAACGGCATGCGGGATGAGGATCTGGCTCAGGAACAGTATTTGATCATGGCTCCAAGAGGACAGCGCTTGCTAGTCGAAGCCTGAGCCGACATTCTCAAGAGGGTAGCCAGGAAATAAGAACTATATGGTGCAAGGGATGGGAGTCACCTGCAGATACATAGACACGTTCCCCATGAGTTTAGCGATAGGCGGTGCGATAAAATTTACATACACGAAGGATTATTCCTAGCACTACAGACCTCATATTGTAGTAAGTAGTCAGGCATTCTAATTCTTCGCCACTCCAGCCACCCGCGCCTCAAACACCTCAGCTGTCTCTCTCATCATCGCATCAATATCATAGTCCCAAATGCGATGAGAGCGCCAATACACCTCATCGTGGCACCTGGAAGCATCCGACCCTACCTCCTTATCCTGCCACTCATACAGATTACCGATAACGCGACTACTTTCCACCAGCCACTGCGCACGCTCGCGACGAACCGCATCATAGGTCTCGAATGCGGTCGTGATAAGAGCGGCTTTCCCCTCAGTACCATCTTTTGCGGTGTCAACCCTTTTCGCAGCCATATCAAGCACAGCGCACAGCACAGCCGCGTCTTCCACACCACAACCTGCACCTGCACCGTGATGCGGAGCCGCAGCATGAGCAGCATCCCCTGCTATACAGACAGCTCCCCGGGAATACGTATTTGGGGGATGGTCGTATGTATCAAAAACGGCCCATTGATCAATAGGATCAGGCAAGAGATCAATTATGGTGCGCATGGTCGGACCAAAGCGGGAAAAGGCAGCCGTCACGTCTTCCTTGGGCCCCTGTGCTGTCCAGCGATCAGCATATGGCCAGGGGTTAGGGTCCGTGACGAAGGCGACGACGTTCAACAATGACCCATGGCTAACAGGGAAGGTCAGGGCATGGGCATCCGGACCGAGATGCATGAAGCGTGTCGCCACTTTATCTTCGCCCAGCGCCTCCCGGGCGCGGTCCATGGGAATAAGGCCACGTGCTGCATATTTATGACTGTAATGGGCTGATGCTGCCGGATGGTCTTCACCTAGGAGGATCTGGCGAACGCGCGACCGAATGCCATCGCAGCCGATCACCGCGTGGGCGGTAGCTGTCGTGCCATCTTGGAATCGAAGAAGCTGGCCGAGGCTATTATCTGCTGCAGGCTCCACGGTATCCAGCGCCTTCTGGAATGTCACCACACCTTCCGGTAGTAGACGTGCCAGCTCACCTAGGAAGTCGGCACGGTGGCAGCCCTCAAATCCACGCTCGCCGAGGTAGATCTTGAAGAGTAGCTGTTCCTCGGTCTCGCGCGGGTCGGTACCGGACTCGTTGAATCCGTCCACCCACTGGAACCAGTCGGAGGCATTGGGGGTAGCGACGCGTTTGAAGGCAGCTTGAATGCGCGGGTCGACGACTTTCATCGCCCATTCGGCGTTGGGGGTGAAGCCGATGCCGGCTCCAATCTCGTGAAAGTCGCGGGCTCGCTCGTAGACGCGGACGGGAATGCCGCGAGACAGGAGGCCCAAGGCCAAGGTGATTCCCGTGATCCCAGCGCCTATAATGGCAACTTCGATCGAGTCTGTACTCATGATGGTAGATTGTGAGTTGGTGAGGTGTGAGTCGATTGGAAGGGGTCTATCTATCTCTTCATTGTTTTGAGGTGGGGTGCAGGATGGCCGTTACTCAGACATAAGATTTTAGTGCTTACTGCCAAGATGACGGGAGCATTTATTTGATGCAATCACTTGATTTAGATATTGGAGTGTGATTTATTGCCTATCTGTAGACGTTGAGAGTGGATATAGAGGCTACCGCCTGGTTAGAGGTTTTGCTCTGATGACTTGGTGTATGCGGCAAGGACATGGGCGAAGACACTTCAGATATCTTTTTTTGTTTGTTGTATCAGCAGCTACTAGTCATCATAGTATAAGAAAGCTGTGATGGTCAGGATTCGGGGTTGAATTAGTGCCCTTCCAACTACCGGAGTTTCCCCTCGGGGTTTTTGTCATCGTGCTTATCGCACTGATGATCAGATACGCAGGAGACCCGTAGTTTTCTTTGATAGAATTGGACAGTATTATAACTAAGAACTCTTGGCTCTAACTTGCGCTAGGTCATATCAATCCAGAATCTTTTACGCCATGCAGCTGTCAGGCCTCCTGTCTTGGCTTCTATCATGGCTCTGGGCCTCCCAGACTACACTTGACCTCCAGGGATTGTATGGCCCCAGCCTATCACCTAATGCAAAAATTGTCTTAGCATCTGATGCCAACTACACGCATGTCACCACACAACGTTGGACTGTGCATGGGGCACCCCACTATCTCGGTGCCATTATACCCGCAACCGAGCATGACATCCAACATATTGTCGGTATGCCTCGCCAAGCCTGTGCGACATGAACTGATAATGCAGTGGAGTTTAGATCAAAATCTCACGAGAGCATGCCATCAATTTCCTGGTAGTCGGTGCTGGCCACGGAGCCACAGTTACCTTTGAGCGGTTCCGCCACGGTATTGCCATCGACATGCAACAGTTCAAGGATGTTCATCTCGATGTGGACGCTGAGCGACTGACTGTGGGCGGAGCGACGGTGTTCTCGGACATCATCGATCCTCTGTACTCAGCACAACGGGAAATAGTGACACCGTCAGCTCCTTGCGTAGGAGTTGTGGGCATGACCCTGGGAGGCGGTATCGGGAGTCTGCAGGGGCTGCATGGGTTACTGCTAGATTCGCTCGAGTCCGTTCGCCTAGTCACCCCGATTGGAGATCTTATCGATGTTTCTGAGACACAGTACCCAGAGCTTTTCTGGGGCCTGCGTGGTGCCGGGTCCAACTTTGGAGTCGTCACCTCGGCTACCTATCGCACACACCAAGCCACCCATGGGGGCCTTGTCACTAATGTAGACTTCATTTTCGCGGCGTCTGAGCACGCTTCCATTTGGCAGGCACTGAGCGCGTTCGATGAGACGCTTCCGCCTGAGCTGGCATTGACCCTGGCCGTGGCCTATAACCGGACGATCGACCAGGTAAGCATCCATCAGCTGAATTTTCTTGTGGGTACTGATTATTTCAAAAGCCACTTGTGCTGGTCAACGCTATATACTACGGTCCTGAGGAACAGGCGCTGGAGCTACTGAGCCCCTTCACCAGTCTCACCCCAATCATGTCCCGCAGTGTGACTGTGCCCTGGAATGCCCTGCTCGACACCACCTTCTTCGGCCTAGCAGCCCAGGAAGGAGGGGCCTGCGCTAAGAACCAATCGGTCAATATATACAGCATCGGACTGAACCACACCGACATACCTGCCTGGGAGTCGTACATGGAGCAACTACTGCAGTTCTATCACCAGAATCCCACCTACGATGGCCGCTTCCTTGTGCAACGCTATTCCACGCAAGGAGCCCTGTCCACGCGGGACTCCGATACGGCCTATCCCCACCGACAGATCAAGATGCATATGTAAGGAGCTCCTCAGTCACCAAAATTTTTGCAGACACTAACTCTTAACATGCAGCAATCTTGAGGGCTGGTATACCGACCCCTACCTTGAAGACCCGGTCAACGCCTTCCTGAAACAGTCTCGCCGGCACTTTCAGCAGTCCAGTGGATTCGACAATCTGGCCGTCTATGTTAACTACGCTCATGGCGATGAGGGGCCAGATGTGTGGTATACCGCTGAAAAGCTGGAAAATCTCACTCGGCTGAAGCAAAAATGGGATCCTGAAGAGCGATTCAGCTGGAGTAACCCTGTTCCGTTATTGGAGGAGTCCTTGGAGCTGTAGTGTCACTGCTTGTATATACAGTCGATCCATCCTTGTCCAATAACGAGGCATAATTTTTTGTGAGGCTCCTCTACTCAGGTTGTGCTGCGTAGAGGCGGGGCGATCTTCACTCGGAGTTTACGATCGGACTTTGAACCTAAGAGGGATCGGCATTCACTGCTAGCCGCGCCTCTCAATGCTCAAGCCTCGGACTAATTCACATGACCGTGACTAGGGCTTATAGGCCCAGCCAAGAGCCCTTCCAAGTCTACCCCTCTCGTACTACATGACACAGATCCTTTCTTCGTTATTTTCCCCGCTTCTCATATTTTAATCATGTTTTTCCAAGGCGAGGGCAGCATTGACATCCCAGTCCAGGATATTATTTCCTGGATATTCGACCAGGCACGATATGAGATCGAAAAGCCAGTGAGTCAATCATCCACAACCAATTGAGAGCTGGACACTTAAGCAACAAAACACCTCAGGTCTATATCGATGCCTCCAATACGAGCCGTTCCATCTCGTGGCGACAAGCCCGCACTCTGGTGCGCCAGTTGGCCGCTGGTTTGCGAGCAGCCGGTCTGAAGGACGGCGATTGCGTGTGCCTTCATTCTTTCAATGATGTATGCACCCCAACCCAAGATAATTTGTTTTTCCTACGTATCTCCGCTTACATATCGACCAGATCTATTACAGCATCCTTGTGCTAGGCATCATCGCAGCTGGCGGAATATACATGGGCACCAATCCGGGCTATACATCCCACGAACTCGACTATCACCTCCGAGTAGCGCAGGCCAAATTCGTGATCAGTGATCCAGAGATGCTAGATCGCATGATCCCCGCCGCTGAGGGCAACGGCATTCCGAAAGACCGCATCTGGGCTTTCACAACGCGCGAGTCGCAGGTTATAGCGACGACGGGACTCGCTCATTGGACCGCCCTGCTGAACCATGGCGAGGCTGACTGGCGCCGTCTCGATGATCCCAACCATGCTAAAACGACCGTAGTAGCGAGACTCTTCAGTTCTGGCACTACTGGTCTCCCTAAACCAGTAGACTTTACCCACTACAATATTATTGCGCAACATACGCTGGTGTACGATGCACACCCCGTCCCGTTTGAGGTCAGAACTGCATGCCCAGGTAGTGCCCCACATCTAGCTGACGTCCTGTAGACAAGTCGGATCCTCTCTCTCCCCTTCTTCCACGCCGCCGCAGCCCCATCTGCACACTTCAGCGCCCTCCGTCTTGGCGACCCATCCTATGTGCTTCGCCGCTTCGAGCCAGACCTCTTTCTAACCACCGTCGCTAAACACAACATCACCGAATGCACAGCCGTCCCGCCAATTATTCTTGCCATCCTCTCCCACTGCACAACCCCGAAATACTCCAACTCACTACAATCCCTCAAAATCGTCCGCTGCGGCGCCGCCCCACTAGACAAAACAACCCAGGCGCGCTTTCAATCTCTCCTCGCCCCCGACGCAACCTTCACCCAAGTCTGGGGCATGACAGAGTCCTCCTGTATAGCGACCATGATACCATACCCTGAATCCGACGACACAGGGAGTGTAGGGCGGTTACTTCCGGGTATGGAAGCGAAGATAATCAACACGGACGGGGACGATATCACTGCCCCGGACACTACGGGTGAAGTCTGTCTACGGGGACCTACCGTCGTGCGTGGATACTTCAATCTCCCTTCCGCCAATGAGAGCGCCTTCGATAAAGACGGGTTCTATAGAACAGGCGACCTCGGGTACTGCGACGGCAAGACAAGAAAGTGGTATCTGCTTGATCGGAAAAAGGACATTATCAAGGTGCGAGGCTTCCAAGTTGCGCCGGCAGAGGTGGAGGGCGTGCTGCGGAATCATCCGCGCATTCGGGATGTCGCGGTTGTGGGGGTGTACGATGCTGAGGCGAAGACGGAGTATCCGAGGGCGTATGTGGTGAGACAGGATCAGTCACTACAGGAGGAGGAGGTAAAGGAGTTTGTGGCGCTGCGGTTGGCGAAGTATAAAAGATTGGATGGTGGAGTGCGGTTTGTCGATGCGATTCCGCGGAATGCGAGTGGGAAGATTCTGAAGCGGTTGTTGGAGGACAAAAGAGATGAGAAGTTGTAGATGAATGGGCAGTTGAATTATGAGCATCTACAGTAGACAGTCTCTTAATCTAATATCTTGCCTGCTACGCGGCTATGTCTTCCTAGGATCACATCATCTCCTTGCATCGAGAACCATCTTTCACAATCTTGCCTAAGCTATCCTTATCATGCTTCTCTAACATTTGGTGGCCTGTATGTCATCGAAGACTTATCTGAGATAGCTACACTCATGCCTGTTCTAGCATTGAGGTCACTGCATCTCCCACGCAAGTGTTCAAGTCGCGGAAAGTCATCCCCAGCACCTTACGAGACTTGCTATTATCAAATCCATAAATACCCTCTGGCAAATCGTCGGGCACATCACTAGGAGGCAGCCTGTCGGCCAGCTCCGGGTGCGTGGCTCGGATAGCCTCCGCAATTCGCTTGTTCGAGAAATGGCCCGCCACGGTGAAAAAGCGCTGGCCGCTGACTTCGGGCAGCTCCAACGCTTGACGGTGAGCGAAGGCAACATCACGCACATCCACCCAGGTGAAAGGTATGGCGATAGGTGCGCCCCCGTCTTTCCACTTCCCGAGCATCGTGTCACGGATAATGTGGTTCGAGGTATTTAGTGTTTTGAGATCAGTAACGTGCCGCGGCTTTGGTCCGAATACTAGCGGGGGGTTGATTGTGACAAGGTCGAAGTTTGGCTTGTCTTTCTCGATGAAGTCGAAGGCGGCGCGCTCGGCGAATATCTTCCGGGTTGCGTGTGTCAATGGAGGTTCTGTTGTAGTGCAGTGATGGAAGTAGCTCATACCTTACTGGCGCGATATGTAACTTGCGGCACCATGGCCTCTTCCCAGGTCACCGACCCGTAGCTGGTCTCATCGTAAACCTCCGGGTGGTTGGGGGGAGTGACAATCGTAGCGGATGAGGAAGTTAAAACTACGCGCTTGACTGTCGGCGCGTAAGCCTTGATGGAGGCGAGCAGTCCGGCTGTGCCTTTGATCGCTGGGTCAAGGAAGTCTGTTTTAGGATCTGTGTAGTTGAAATGATACGGCGAGGCGGTATGAACTACCAGGTCCAAATCTGAGATGGATTGGATGGCCTGGTTTTTCACAGTCAGTCAGCACTCTGGACATCTGATAAAGCCTGCATAGGTGTGAGGTTTACCTCGTCATACGCCCCATCTTTGGCGATATCCTCCACCACCACGTACGATGCCGCCTTGTCGCCGGTGTTCGACAACGATTCAAGAAGCTGGCGGCCCTTATCGTGGGTGCGGACGGTCACTACGACCTGATACCTGAAAACCTGTTAGAAGAATCTGCTGTCTCGCGCGAGCATTGCTTACCCGGCGTCCAGTAGCTCGGTCAAAATGTGCGAGGCAATGAAGCCTGTGCCGCCTACATTACCCAACAAACATTAGTTCATCAGCTGCGGGTATCTGGTAACAATGGATTGCACTGACCTGTAAGCAGAACCTTTTTTGCAAGGGACCCCATCGTAAGCTCTCGAATCTTTGTTTTTTTTCTTACTCTTACAGCGCAGGCTCAACTACCCAGGGTGTTGAAGTAGAGAGCTGTGTTCAAGGTGGGGAAACGTCCACCTTCGGCTCGGACAAAACATCGTGGCTGATTAGTCCAGAAGGATGAGCTGGCAGAGATCTCCGCATACGCGCGGATACCCAAGAGCATAACAAGTCCGCACGAGAAACTCCGGGTGTGCCCGATCTGATGCTCACTCATTCTTCATCGAATTGAATGTCCGGCAGTAAAAACAATAACTAGTAGGGCTATAGTATAATATCATACAAATACATGAAATCAAGCATCAATGTCTATATCTAAATGTACTTCCCTCCGGCTCAAGCCCTTCCACCGAGCAGCCGAGCTCATCAGTAAAAGCCATGGCAACGAACGGTTTCCGACCAGAGTATGAAGACCTCGGTCGGTATGAGGATATCCTCGGCCAGCTGCCGATGCTGCAAGTCTACAGTCACATCATGCTTCCTTTTGCCATGCCCGAGGGGTTGTCACGAGACACCATAATCGCCGATCTAGAAGCTGCAGTGCGCCAGATCCGGGCTCATGTACCCTGGATGGCCGGCAAAGTCGTCAACGTCGGCAAAGGCCCAGACAATTCAGGGCGATACATTGTTGTTCCCTGTCCGCCTCCGGATCCTCTCATCGTGGTGCGCGATGTCACCCACGCCTTCCCTCCTTACAAGGAGATCCAACGTCTAAAGGCACCCAATTCGATGCTGGACTCGCGTCTGCTAGCCCCGACAAATGCCTTTCCTCAGCGCTTCGAGGACTCGGAGGAGGACCCATTCCGGGTGATCCGCCTCCAGGCCAGCTTTGTCGACGGGGGAGTCTTTCTCGACTTTGTCACCCAACATAACATGACCGATGCAGGCGGTCTTTTCGGCTTCGCCCGCCTGGTCGCCATGGCTATGCGGGGTGAACAATTCTCCGAATCTCTCCTGGAACAGGTCAATCGCGATCGACGCAACATCATCCCGCTATTGACCCCGGACGAACCCATGCTAGATCATTCCCACCACATTCGACCCCCGATCACAGACGCACAGCCAGTGGTACGCCCTGATCCCGCCCGATGGCATTTCCTGCGCTTCACCGCAGCAAAGCTGGCCGAGCTGAAGGACCTCGCCAGTCAAACCATGACCCCAGACCCAGAGGTGCCCTACATCACGACTGACGATGCTGTCAGTGCTTTCTGTTGGAAGAAGTACATAACGGTGCGACACCGTCGACGGAACACCCCGGACGCGCGGTCCCGATTCTCCCGGGCCATGGACGGCCGCAAGGTCCTAGGGATCCCTGCCGAATACATGGGAGATCTAGTTCACAATGTCACCACTTGGCTCACATTCCGAGAGCTGGTTGATCTGCCGCTCGGTGAGATTGCGCGTCACATGCGCCGGGAATTGAACCGGGCGAATACCGCTTACCACGTGCGAAGCTTTGCGACATTCATCGCGCAGGAGCCTGACAAGTCCACGATTGCATATGGCGGGCGCTTCAACCCAGACACAGATGTGGGGTCGTCGTCGGTACTACGCGTAGATCTGTTTCCGGTGTTTGGGAAGCTGGGGCGACCGGACTTCATTCGGCGACCTAATTTCCCTGGCATTCCGTTTCCCAGTCTGCTATACTTCTTTCCACAGAACCCTCAGGGAGATTGTGACTCGCTGACCTGTCTGACTGATGCCGATATGGAGGCTCTCAATCAAGATTCGGAGTGGACTTCCATGGTGGAGTACATTGGGTAAGAGGCAGTAGCCAAAACTCCGAATAAGGGCTTTTTGAAACTCCGCGTGGCAGAGTAGCGGATCACCAACCAAGAGCTATTAACGCGATCTTCATCTCGTATCTAGAAGATAAGCAAGATCTCACTGGCGATCAATCTAATACGTCTGGCAAATCGATTGTTCCTCTGTCTAACCTAGCAGGTGGAACCCATGTGTCTTTTGTATGTAGAAACCTGTCCTGCTTTTGTAGCATGAGCCTCCATTCCTCGGGTTCATAACTCCCCTCACCACCAAATCCATCACCTCTTTAACTTTTCACTCTCGATAAATCATAGCCTAGTACACAGTATGCCCGCCAAACTACCAGGCGACACAACACTCCGCTTACCACGCATACTCTGCCTCCACGGAGGCGGCACCAACGCCCGCATTTTCCGCGCCCAATGCCGAGTCCTGAGCACACTACTAAGCCCTCACTTCCGGCTCTGCTTCGCCGAAGCGCCTTTCCCCTCGCAGCCAGGCCCGGATGTCGTCTCGGTCTATCGATACTTCGGTGACTTCAAGAGCTGGATCCCAATGCCGCCGAACCCCTCGATCTCACCCACCAACCTTGCAAAGAAAATCCTCAACTCCCTCCGCCATGCAATAGAAGAGGATGACCGATCAGGCGCAGATGGGGAGTGGGTTGCAGTGCTTGGTTTCAGTCAGGGCGCAAGGCTGGCTGCTAGCCTGCTCTTTCAGGAACAGAATGGGGGATCTGGGATGGTTGGGGTGTATGGTGGAGTCAACTTCCGGTTCGCTGTCTTGCTTGCGGGGAGAGGCCCGATGATTCCTCTTGATTTGGATGCTATGGCTTCGGTGTCTTCGGCGGTTCTATCTCTTCCCACCATACATATACACGGGCTGCAGGATCCCGGGTTGGAACATCATCGGGAACTTCTGGAGAGATATTGTAATCGTGAGACAGCTTCTTTGATAGAGTGGGAGGGAAACCATCGGGTGCCCATCAAAATGAAGGATGCTCGGGTGGTGGTGGAGGAGATCTTGAAGATTGCGCAGAAGACGGGTTGCTTGGTACCTCCGACGATACAAGGTGGAGGGACTTCTAACTGCGGCGCCCTTCTTCTGGATCGTTAGGGGACGATTCTGATTCACCCTTCATATATGATTGTTTTAGGCCACTCCTTGTGGCAGATAGTCTAATGTTCTGCTGATAACCATTGCTTATAGAAAAAATTATTCTTGGCTTATTCTTGGAAAACCTGTTTGTGATAAATCTGAATCGTTCCTGCTTGTGTGGATTTGACTGCACACTATTCTGTATGCGCGATATTTAGACGCAATTGCCCATATTGTTTGTTAAGTCGATATGGAAGGGAAGGTAAGCTACATACACTTCGCTACCTAATTGTGCTCCAAGGACTTTCTTTTGTTTTTGTCTAACCGCGGTGGGTCTTCACGCTGTCTTGCCTGTCATCCTCATTCATGTAATATGGATAAGTGATTGACCGTCCCAGGCCTACGAGGCATAAGTGGTGTTCCTCGTTCGTGCTATTTGACCTATTGACGAAAGAGAAACAAAAATGAAACAAACGCAGGGGCTTTCTTTCGTGCTCACAACATCTAAAGTCTGTTGTTTGTTAGGTTGGTGGGCCACGAAAAATAAATTGCCGGTCCCGGCGGACAGGAAAAAAGATGGTCCCAGAGGGGCTCGAACCCTCGACTTTAACGTTATTAGCGTTACGCTCTAACCAACTGAGCTATGGGACCCAGTTGATATATGAACGGTCTTACTATAGCTTAATGAAGGGACACATTCTTCACCCAATATCCGAGATTTGCCTACCCAGATGTCCTCACCACCATTGCGACCCCAACATCGACAATGCCAAGATTACGATGTGTCTTATGTTAAATGCATCTCATGAATAAACTATATATTTTCTTTCTGTAATTCTGACGCTCACTCACGTGGAATTGGATATCCACCATGAGTGACTACTATCGCATGTTGTTCGGATATATATTTTGATACTCTCCTAGTGAGAGTAACTTCTACGACGTACTTGGTAGTACTACGATGGGTATTATTGAATCGTAGTTACAAGTTGAAGTCTCCTGGTCAATAGGATAAGTGTTATACATGAGCCACATCATATGCCCATATGAGTCAAGGATGGCAATACCCTACGACACAGTCACCGCCCATTCAGAATGATACCATGCGAACTCAGCATTGCATAATCAACAGCCGACATTCGAGACCAACGCCGATAATGGGAGCCGACCAGAATGTCTAGGCACTATGCACACGCAAATCCACCAAAATATCACTAAGCTCCTAAGCTATTGACAAGGCACCCTCCATTGTTTTTACAACACCCGAACACCGATAATCCCCCCTGAGCATGGCCCCCCGCCCAAGCCGTGTCTATACACCAGTAAAGCCACCATGTGTAACGCCCCTCGCCATCAGGGTCCCAAATGATTCATCGGTCAGCTAGGAACTAAGAAAAAGATGGTAAATGAACCATATCACGGACACCATCTCGGGGAAAAATGGTCTTCCATCTCCACCACGATGGTTCCTGGCACATGGCAGGCCATGCGACTCCATAGGTGGATCTGCGCATCCTGCCGCAGCGTGTCGGGAGGCTTGGTCCCACGTGGGCATTAACAGCGAATGATATATATCGTATGCTGCGTATATATGAGATGAGTGCGGGTGTCCAAATGGTGCTGTATGCATCCTTGGAGGTTTGGCGTATGTATGTTTGGTATGTTTGTAATACCGGTATGTAATGTATTACACAGAGCATGTATGCATGTAATGTATTTCGATACAATAATGTCCGTTGTATTACCCACCTAAGAAAGCAAAACGCCGAAGGATCCGGCCTGCAGGTGCAGGGAGCTGAAGCTGCACCTGGACCATCGTATCAGCAAGAGCTAGCGAGGCTTTCCTCTACAGGGAATGGGTCAAGCAACACCCGAGGACCGAGTGTAACAATAGGAGGCACCGTGCTAACAGTGGTTCCCACAGTCATTGAGCAACAGAATTCCTACCCTAGTTTCTGACACTGCACTCTCTTTCACCTATCGTTCATCATACGACCAAAGCCATTCATCCTTTCCAGCGCACATTGACACCACTGCCATTCTCAAGGCAAAATGGACACAGCAGCCCTCCTCAACTCAGTAACCTGGCAAAACACCCTGCTCTTCGCAGGAGGGGCCTACATCATCCTGAACCTGAAGGGTCTCCCTTTCGTCTGGCACGTTAGTTCCCCTTTCCCCTAACCTCACTTCGGACATCTCCTAACCCAATTACTCACACAACCCATCTCGACATACTAAACAAAGAATCAAACACACAGGTCCGCCTCCTCAACTGCCTCAAAGAACACATCATCCTCAACCGTGCCCGTCAAGTGGTCATAACCACCCATGGCCCCCAATCCCTCTTCTACCCGGTCATTACGACATCCTCCACCCCGCTACTCGAAATTGACTACAATATGCACAAGTCCAACGCAACCTACTTCACCGACCTAGACATCAACCGCGTGCACTTGATCTCCAGTTTATTCAAAGACCAGCTCGCGCTGGGGTTCTCCGGCGGAGAGCTGAACATCGCACTCGGATCCACAGCATGTGTCTTTAAGAGAGAGATAAAACCATACCAAGCGTATGAGATCCATACGAGATTGTTAAGTTGGGATGAGAAATGGGTGTATTTCGTTAGTCATTTTGTCAAGACCGGCGGGAAGAAAGACAAAGGGGAGGTAGTGTTTGGGGGCAGCGCGACGGGTGTAAAGGATGAGAAGTGTATTTTGGCTTCTGCTGTCACGAGGTATGTTTTCAAGAACGGGAGAATATCAGTGAGTCCGGAGACAGTGCTCTCGCGGGCTGGATTGTTGCCGGAGAAAGGGGTCAAGATGAAGGAGGGGTTCTGGTCGTGGGAGCAGGTCGAGGAGGAGAGGAAGAGGGGTTTGGAAGTTGCAAAGTCATTTCTTGCGTTGGATGGATTGCATGCGATGTTTAGGGGGGACGGGAAGGCGATTGGGGTATTTTGAGGCGCGGTTGATGTGACTGATAGACGTGGGTAGCTTGGTCTTTGTCAAAAGTAGTATGGGCTTTGCAGAACATGAGTGGGATATTCTTAGATCTCGAGGGATATAGAGATAGCCAACTTAAGGAGAAATGAGCATATGCTTCGTGAACATAATTCAAATTTGTGAAAAAGCTGAGTGTTAATGGACTGTTCAATGTACCCCGTGATCTTCATTGGTGTAGCCAGATAGTTGCAGGAATTGAGAGAAATACCTTATAGCATGGCACCGTTTAGACTTAGTTTCATTCTGATAATTCTCCTGACAGATCACGGATTGTAGAAAAAAGGACATAATGTCATATATAATCATAGACTTGCTTATCATGAAAGACATTCTGGTATCAACAACGCCAAAACCCTATGTAAGTCTGATGCAGCTATGCAACGACAACCTCCGAAGACTGAGTGACCTTTTCCAACCCACGCTCACCATCCATATACTCTCGCCACTGTAAACAACCAAATCAGCACATAAAAGCCTAGAGATTCAAGATAGACAACGTACCTCTGCCAAGACCTTCGCAATGATCGGTGACTTTGTCAACCGGAACACCTGCCGGAAGTATCCTTCGCTGACTTCAAATGGCCGCGCCGTCAGGTTCGGGATATACTTGCCCACCAGGCGGTCCGCATCCAGCGTATCCTTGTCAATGTACTTGTAGAGACATGCACGGAAGGCTGTAATGCCTGGGCTAAGGAAGGATGAGTGGAAGGGCACGTCGATTCCTCGGAGTGGCACGGTAGCCACTCCCCGCTCAAGCTGGATAGGTTGGGGCTTTGCTTTGGCGGCGTTGGCGCATTGGTGGAGTGTATCGACTACGCTGGCACGAATCTCCTCTTCGGGTTGAGTATTCTGGAGAATAGCCTGGAAGTCAGATTGACGGCGCTTGAGTTCGCCGATCAATGAGGAGAGGGTGTCGAGGGCTCGAAGCTAGAATGTATTAGTAGGAGTTTCTTCAGGAGTGAAATTGGTTGACTAACATCACCCGCGCAGACGTATTGAGAGTTGGCGACATTGTAGTTTACAATTTCAAGCAACCAGCCTGTCTCTTTAGCAATGAGCGATACCAAGTACTGCAGGCGTGCTTCGTTGAAAGCTAGACGTAGTCAGTAACCAGTCGCGAAAGGCAGTAAAGGGACATACACTTCGACAGCCGACTCGGGTCGACGGCGCACATGGAGAAGTTCGACCTTCCTTGCTCGTCGCGCTCAACAGCCATCTGCATCGTCAAACCGCGGTAGAAAACCACTGATACCAAACTCTCAATAGGCATGATTTCTGCAATTGCTGCCAATGCAGAGTATTCTCCCAGAGAATGACCAGCGAAGCTACAGTGGTCTGCCAACAGCCCCTTGTCTTTCATGTCTTCAATGATAGCTTTCTCCATGAGGGTCAGTGCTGGCTGGGTAAACTGAGTAGAAGAGAGAAGTCCGGTGCTTGATCGGAATGTGTGTGACTTGGTATCATGTGTGATGTCTTTGAA